CAGTGCTGGTAATGGACAGAAGAGGGCGTTGGATCCCCTGGAACTGGAGTTACTGGTGATTGTTAGCCATCATGTGGGTGCTGGGATTCGATCCTGAATCTTCTGCAAGAACAGCCAGTGGTCTTAACTGCCAAGCTCTCTCCCTAGTCCCCTTGCTTTACCATTGACATATTGTCAATTTGGATTACCTGGGAATGAGAATTCATTTTTGACTTAACCTTGTTTAATTAAGGATGTGGAAAGCATTTCTGGAAGGTTCACCTCCTCAACAAGGCTCAGCAGGAACTGCCAGAATAGGGTGGTGATGGGCAAGTTGCCCCTGCTCTGGTATTGACTTCCCTTCATTCACTGCGGTAGTCTGCTAATTGTTGAGATGAGGACATCTTAGATCCCTTCTGTATTTGAGTTATCTTTACTTGCCTCAGAGCAATGATTGGAAATTGAAAAAAAAATCACGTGATGAAGGTTATGTATGACTCTTCTTGCTGTGTTTCCTATTATGGCATCAAATCAATAATTGATTGAACTGTTTATCCGTCCCCTTCTGTTTCAGAGCTTTCACAAAAAGAGACCAACAAACGGGTTTTATTTTTCTTTCTAAACAAATCAGTGGTTGATGACTTTTCAGTCATTTTAGTACTATAAGACATTTAAAAATAATTTTTACATTCAGATTCCGTGACATTTTTTGTTCCTTTAAGATAAATGGTTTCCTTCTATTTTTCTGTTGGTAACATTTTTACCTACAAGTGAAATTTTGAAAACCTTAAAAGGTATTTACTTTAACAGTTGCATATATTGAGGATCTTAAAAGATTCATTTTAAATTATGCATATATGTGTGTGTCTGTGTGAGTACCAGTGCCTGGAGGAGATTAGAAGAGTACGCAGGATCCCCTAAAGGTGGAGTTACACAGGAAGTTCAGAGCTGCCCACTGTGGGTACTAGGAACTGAACTCAGGTCCTTTGGAAGAGTAGTATGTACTTTTAACCACTGAGCCATCTCTCCAGCCCTATGGAGTGTTAATTTTTTTACTATTTTTAGTGTGTGTGTGTGTGTGTGTGTGTGTGTGTGTGTGTGTGTGTGTGTGTGTGTGTTTGTCTGTGTATGTGCTCGTGAGTATAAGAGTTTGGGAAGGCCAGAGGCATCAGATCCCCTGGATGTAGAATTAGAGGCCTGTGAGTTGCCTGAAGTGGTACTTGGAACTGAATTTGAGTCCACTTTAAGAGTGGCAAAGGTTCTTAACTGCTGAGTCATCTCTCCAGCCCTCATAAGAGTATCTTAACTGGGATAATTTTGTTAAAGTAGAAAAGCAGAAAAAACCTGAGTGGGAAAGAAAATGCTAGAATAAGCAGTTGCCACTACCTTAGTCAAGTGTATGTTATCTTAAGAATTTTTAATGTCTTTGAAGGATATTGAAAGATATGGCAAATAAACTTAAGAAATTCTAGTATCTGTAGGATGTATGAAAATATGATGGGAATATTAAAAGTTTATGTTGTAAGTCATGCTTTTTTACTTTATTTGCTTGAAAATAGAGGAATATGTCAGTCTGTTTTGCTAAATTGTTTTAAGCCTGTAAACTCTACAGAAGCACTGTAAAAAGTGTACAGTATAAAAATGACATTATTTAGCCAGGTGTGCTCTAATCCCAGCACTTGGGAGGCAGAGGCAGGTGGATCTCTGTGAGTTCAAGGCCAGCCTGGTCTATGTAGTGAGTTCAAGGCCAGCTGGGACTACAGGAGACCCTGTCTCAAAAAGACCAAAAGAAAAAAAAAATGAAGTTTTAAAAACTAAACAGAAACAATTATGTAGGCACTTATACTACTGCTTAATAGATATTTGTCAGGGATTGAACGGATGTCCTAGTTTTATTTCTGTTGTAATAAAATATCCTTACAAAAAGCAACTGAGGGGAACAAGGGCTTTATTCTGTGTATGTACAAGTCCAGGTTACAGTGCATTATTTCAGGGTAGTCAGCAGCAGGATCTTGAACCAGCTGGTCACACCACATTCTTAAAGTGCAGAGAGAAATGCGCCCATTCTCTCTGCTTCTTACTTGTTTGGCTCCCTTCACCTGTACACTTTTTCAGGGCCAAGCCCATCAAATGGTGCTGCCCACATTCAGGGTGGGTCTTCCTTTATCCATTAACAATTAAGATAGCCAGCACATACACACCTGATAGTTATGAGGTTACAGGCATTGCTTTATTATAACCATTTGTTTTTATTTTGCATAGGGAATTGAACCCAGGACCCTCTGTTTACTATGTACATACCTAAAATGAAACAAAATAATCCCTATTTCCTGCAAAAAGGAATATCTCCCTTGGATCCCCTCCTACCTTCAGGCATTCTTTCTCACTTTTCTGTATAAATCTGTTTGCTTTGCTTAAAAAAGAAATCTTACAACTGAGCTACACTACATAGATTTTAAAATTCATACTGGGATAGAATTAAATTCTGGTAGAATACGTGATGTATGCCATCACACCTGGCTGATTATCAGCGTTTTAAGCTTTTCATTTGGTACATATTTCCATGTACCAAATAATAAGTTTAAAAAAATATTTTATTATTTTTACATGTGTGAGTGTATTGCCTGCAATATGTGTAAGTATACCCATGTTGTGAAGTGCCTGCGGAGCCAGAAGAGGGTGTTAGATCCCCTGGTCCTGGAGTTATGAACTGGTGTTAGCTGCCGTGTGGATGCTGGGAATCAAACCCAGGTCCTCAGCAAGAGCAGCCAGTGCTTTTAACTGCTGAGCCATTTTGAGCTCCCCAAATAATACGTTTTTATGATTGTTTCAATTTTTGACACTTGTATACTGTTTCTTGTTATGAATTTATAAGTTTTCAATGTTAGGTACGTTGTATAGTTAGGAAAGTTTGTTCAGTGATGAGTTAAGTTATGAGGATATTCTTTCTTGAAGTTGGTAATTGACTTTTTAATTTTTTAAAATTTTTGTTTGTTTGGGACAGGGTTTCACTGTACTGTACAGCCCTGGGTAGCCTAGAATTCATTATGTAGACCAAGCTGGCCTCTAACCTACTTCACAGAGATCTGCCTGCTTCTTCCTCCAGAGTGCTGGGATTAAGGCATGCTCCACCATGCCCGGGCCTCATTTTTTAATTTTTTTTTAATGTGTGTGTATTGTATGTGTTGTGTACTGTGGTGGAGGTCAGAGGACAACTTTCTAGAGACATTTCTCTCTTTCCACCTTAAGCAGGTCCTGGGGATCAAACTCACATTGTCAGAGTTGAGCAGCAAGCACTTATTCCAGCTGAGCCATCTTGCTGGCCTCACTTTCTGTTTCCTTTGTGTGAATCAGCAGTTTTCTCATACGACCCTATAATGTTGCAATATTATTTTCTACGAAGACTAATTTGTTAGATAAATCTTTGAGTTTTTTATTTTTTGTTGTTCTCTAAGTCTGAAAATTTCATAATGCCTCTTTTGTGTTTAAATTTCTTACTATTCTGTTTCTATAATATCTGTTTTGACTTAGTTCCTTGTTTTTGGGGAGACTATTCCCCTGAGTCCTTCTTTCTTTTGGAAAAAGGAGCATTTTAGGTATTTTAAAAAATAATAATGCTTTTTTGACCATGTATTTGAATATTTTATTTTTGAAATTATTTTTATTTTATTTTATTGTATGAGTGTATTGCCTGCATGCATGTAAGTGCACCTGTGTGCCTGCGGAGGTCAGAAGAGGGCTTTGGATCCTTTGGAACTGGAGTTACAGATGGTTGTTCTGGGAACTGAACCTAGGTTCTCTGTGAGCACAGCCAGTGCTCTTAATTGCTGAGCCATCTCTCTAGCCCTTTAACCTTATATTTGAATAATAGCTTTGACAACTAGAGAGTTACACCTTTGAAATAATGTACTTTACACATTTGAAGGCTTTAAGAAAACTGTTACATTCCAGTGTTACCTTTGTGAGGGTGGTTCTGTGCATGGTAGGATGTTTGGCTGCATCCCTGCAGTTTTCTCATATGACCCTATAATGTTGCAATACTACTTCCTACAAAGAAATATCTTTGTTCAGTAGCTACCAATAAGCATTCTCCTTTCCCCAGTCATGCAAATCAAAATATCTACTGCTATTGCCAGATGCCCTCTATGAGGAGCTTACTGACTTTTGTAGTATGCTTTTGAATTCTGTCTTGTTCTTGTGTGGGTGTTCATTGTGATGTGTTCTGATGTAGTACTAGGGTTTAGAGCAGCAGTGAATATATGTGCTCAATCCAAAGGTATTATCAAGCAACTTAATTCTAAAAGGTATTTTCTTTAATGTCTTTACATGCTTTCTTCCTTTTTGCAGGAGAAACTCAAATGAGGATCATAGGAATAAAACTAGAAAACATTATTTTTGAGGTTTTTCAGGTGGGCTTTGTTCTATCCCTAATGATCAATTGTATACTTTTAAGATTTTTTTTATCAGCTTGCTTTTTGTCACTATGAGTCAAATGGTTGCAGGGAACAGAATACATATGAAGGACTCTCAGAAATGCAGTATGGACATGGCTTCTTAGCTTTTTAACATTTTGTATTTCAGCAATTATACTTGACTTTGGGAGAATTATAGCTCAGTACTCAATTTTGTTCCAAGAGGTAGAAACTCATAAATTTTACAATTTACTTATCTAAATTAATAGTGTTCAGTTTGCTAGCTGTGTGTAATTATGTAACTTTAAATAATTAAAATTAAAATAAATTCTGTTTCTTGATGGTAGCCATATTTCAAGTCTGAGTAGTCACATTTGACAGTTGGGTTGCAGATTGAAAACCATTCTAGGAGAGTTACTGTAATCAGGACACAGTACCTGAGTAGTAACTCAGGTTGGACTTTTACCTTCCTAATCATGTGCCCGCCCACTCGTTTTCTTTTTAAAGCTTCAAACTGTGGGAAGAACTCTCCTTATGTGGAGTAAAATTTTGACAGTTGTATCTTTTTGTTTGACTACTCTAGCTTTACTTTTGTTTTTTTCCCCCCAGACAGTGCAGTGCTTGCTAGACAGTGGTGCTGATATTAACAGGCCAAATGTATCAGGAGCCACTCCATTGTACTTTGCTTGCAGGTATGATACTCTCTATTTTCAGATGCATTCATTAAAGAATAAAATAAAATATTTAATGTTTATTGGCAAAATAGAATGTTATATGTCAATTATAGTTTCACACATAAACTTTTATGTATTTTCTAAAGCTCTTTTGTTTTCCCACAGATGCTTTGCTTTCATTTAAGATGTTGGATATCACTATTACAGAAAAGAAAGCATTTTCTATTATTACTACTATTTCTTTATTTCTTTTTTTGAGAACGGGTCATTATAACTCAGGGCAGCCTGGAACTCACTGTGTAGCTCATGGCTGGCCTTGACATAGAGCTCCCTCTCTCAGCCTCCCAAATGCTATGATTACAAGTGTGAGCCATCATGTCTGGCTTTTCTATTATATTAATTACCAGTGTTTTTATCCCATAGGTAGAGATTTTTCATTACTTGACTACTTCAATTTTAGGACAATTTAATAATCCAGTTTATTAAGTAACCAGGTCTGTTCCCTTGAGATAAATTGTCGAAGTATGACTTGGTCCAGAGTCAAACTTTTCTTTCTTTGTATAACTTAAAAAAGTGTTGAATCATTCTTATGTTATTGTTATTTTTTAATATTTCCACCTTTGTTCTTTTTATTAAATTGTGTATTTTCTTACTCATGTAATCATCCAACGTCTAGCTCACTCACTGTGTACCACACATTGTTATAAGGATTAGTGAAACAATAATAATTAAAGGCTGTGGGTGTAATAGAGGACTTGCCTAGCATGCGCAAGGTCTTGCTTTCATCTCTGGCAGTGGGAGATTAAAAAATACAACTACATCATTAACAATTCAGAACAAACCTTAAGCATTAATGTAATAATTATATACATAGACCTGTACCCATACACACATACCTACATATGTATATAATATGCTACATAAAGGCACTTTGCAGTTAGCAGTGCACAACACATGATACTAATTTTTTTAAATTTAAATTATAGTGCTCCCTTGTCAGCCTTAGGTATTGGTTCTATGACCACACCCCCACCTGATGGAAACGAAAATCCTTTAATATTAAAATCCCTTACATAAAATGCGAAAGTATATATAATCTTTGAACATCTTCCTGTATAGCTTATTCATCTCTATATTACTTATACCTAATATAATGCTATGTAGATAGTTGTTAATACTGCATTGTTTTGGTAATGACAAGAGAAAAAGTATATGCAGGCTCAGTATAGGTACAGTCATTGCATACCTGCTACATTTTCAACCTGTGGTTGCTTGAATCTATCAGTATAGGACTTGTGGATGTAGATGACTTGACTATCTTTCAGTTAAGAGTATTCATTTAGGTTTTTAGATAAGAGATTTCTGGAAACTTCTTATCCTGTTTCTTATTTTATGTAATTTTACTGAATTTATTTTCTACTGCTTTTTTCTTTTATCATTGATGTCTATGATGTTACTTTGATCAGACTGATTCAGATCATCTAGTAAACCCTTTTAAAGAATACTTTATTTTTAATTAGGTATATGTATGTGTATGTGGAGGACAGAAGAGTGGCGCTAGAGTTACAGTGGATCCAGTGGTGCTAGAGTTACAGATGGTTGTTAGCTGCCATGTGAAGCAATTCACAAAACACTATAGCAATTCTTTGACTTAAATTAAAATTATGTGACTGTCAAGCTTTAGACTTCAAGATCTTATCTGAAATCAGTATTCTGTTGACTGACCAATTGCTTACATTGTGACATCAATTTATAGAAAATAGTAATTTGGGGTGGAGAGATAGCTGTGGTTAAGAGCACTGACTGCTCTCACAGAGACCTGGATTTAGTTCCCAGCACCCACATGACAGCTAACAACCATCCATAACTCCAGTCCCAGAGGATCTGATGCCCTCTTCTGGCCTTCACAGACATTGCACAACACAGGTGCGTTTCCATACATGCAGGCAAAACACTCATACACATAAAATAAAAATAAATAAATAAATGAAAATTAAAAAGAAAAAAATTTGATTTTCCTAAATAATATTCTATCTTGAGGATTTAGTTTTAGATCAGACATTCCTTTGAAGCTCTAGAGTTGAGTGTCCACCTGGCAGATTCACATCATCATTGAAAGGTCATGCAGTCTCAGATGTTAATGTGTCTGAAATTTTGTTTCTTATTTTCCTTTTCAAACCTTTCAGTTTCTTTCTCTTAATCAAGGGAACCCTTATTCTAGTTATTTAATGCAGAATCATTATTCGTAGTGTTCTCTCTCTCTCTGATTCTGAATTTGGAACATTTTTTCTTTGAAAATTTTTTTTATATTTTATTGAGTTTATGTATATTTCATATAGGACATCTTAATCATCTTTATACTCCCTTCCCATTGGCACCCCTCCATAGCTGCCCCCACTCCAAACTGGATTTCATGCATTCTGTCATTGCTGTTAAAGTCTATTGAGTCAAGTCAGTGTCCCCAAATGTCCCTCTGTGCAAGTTCATCCACTGAGATCTACTCAGCCTATGTAGAGTCCCTCCTTTTATGATGACCAACTGTACCTAACCCAGCAGTAATCAGCTGCCAGTTGTTCTTCAGCTAAGATTGGGTCCTGCTGCCCATTTTCACAGTCCTGTGCTGGGTTTTTGTTTGTTTGGTTTTGCATGGGTCTTGTGCATGTTGACACCACTGCTGTAGGTTCATATGAGCAAGGTCCCAGGGAGCCAGGTTGTAAGACTCTATTT